TTAAGATTTTTTTATGTCCCAACATTCTAAAAATTAAAGTGTCTATTGGAGATACAGGAAAACGATATATAGAAAGCCTCATTCTTGCTGAGTCTGTCTTTGCCCTTCCTCAGCTTGTCACCAAGTTACAAAAGTCAAACATTCTACATCTCCAGATGACAAGGTCCTATAGAAAATGGCCCAGGCTGGATCCTCCCAACCCCCCAGGACATACAGCAGGGATTAGCCCTGGTACACAGCATCTCTAAACCTCAGTGCCCTCACCAGTAAAGGGGGGGATAATACAGACCTCACAGGTTGTGCTAAGGATAAAATGAGATCCTGGATGTGAAACTGTTAACAGGGAGGAAGAACCTTGGGTCCCTCAGGCTGAATGTGACCTTCAGGAATGCTTTGTTTATCTTGCACAGTGAACACCCTCCAGTTTGTCACTGTCCCTGCCACTCCTATAATCGTCTGTCTCAAGGTCTTGTACTTTTCCTTTTTAGTATTTTGCTAACCAAATTCAGATAGTAGTCCTGTTATTCTTTATTGTTGACACTTAATGACACGTGATATACACACATATATGTATATAGATACAAACATATACACACCAGTGGCACTCAGACTTTGGTGTACATCAGAATCACCTGGCGGCTTGTTAAAAATGGAGATTCTGGAGCCCTATTGTGTGGGTCTGGAGAATAAGAGCCAGAAGCCCCACATTCTCACTCCTCCTCAGGTGCTTTTACCCAGATAATACCCATACTCTTTGACAAGCACTACGACATACATTCTAAAAATGATATCAGATGTTGAATTATGGGTATGATTGTTCCTTATTGATTGTATGTAGGAAAACAATAATTGTCAAGGAAAACTGAGATTTTGAGTCCAGGTAGCTAGGAGGGGAAAGGTAATATTAACAAAAAATAAGGAGGTGGAACAGGAAGATGATGGAATATAGACTGCTTTTTAAACTGCTTTATTAATTTCATATTAGGAAAAGAATATTTTCCTAAAATGGGTGAAATTGCCATGCTGACAGAAACTTTCAGACTTAGACAAAACAATATTCAATTAGAAACTGATTAAATGTAAACACCAAAAGGTTTACAGAAAAAGTAAATCACAAAAATACAAGCTTGTAAAGCAGTGGCCACATTATTAACCTCTGGGAAAACCTTAGGATTCAAGGTATGAGGCAAAAGTCATAATGATTGTCAGGTTCGGGAGTTTGGAAGCGCATATAGTTCCTCACCTGCTGCTCCCTAGTCTTTCTCTTGATTTCCATCATCTGCCCTACAAACCTTTCTACATCATCTCCTGCTTCATTGTGATCAATATGCCTATTAGGTATGGCCCATCGAAAATTAGGGACAAGTCGCCTAACCCGCCCCCGCCTGACATTTCCTCCAGGCTTCTGGCCTTCACCGCCTCCCAAATGGCGGGATTCCTCTTCATTCTGCACAGGGGCCTGCTCCCCTCCTTCCTTTTCTTGTTTGGCATTTTCTGCGTTGAGCTTTTTCACCACTTGTTCCTCTTTGGACTCCATTACTCCTAGGAGATGAGAGAGAGAAAAGGTGGACCGATCAGCACCGAGGACAGAGGCCCTACTACGCACCTTTCAAAATTCAGAGCCCTGGATTTCAAAGGCCTTTTCAGAATTTCCTTTTTCCCACCTGAGAGGCCCGGTGCGCCCTCTAGGGGGCCCCCAGCCGAGCCCCTCCCTCCCGCAAAGCCCACCATTTTCCCTGCAGATCCATGTCCAGGCCTCTGCAGGCCCCAAAATGGAGGACGAGGATGGCGAGGGTGGGGCGAGGCGGAGGTGTGTGTAGGGGGAGAAGA